AATTCAAGGTTTTCTTCGTGTCATCAGACGTTGAATAAATATAAACAAATCACAAACAATTATATGCTTCAATTCACTCATCGGAATATATTACTCTGATTATCTCGTAGTTATATTTTGGAAATTATGGTTCAAAAAAATATATATATAACAAATACATAAAGACTAATTCTTTTTTATTGCGAAAATTAAAAATGTAAAAAAAAAAAAAATGCTTTTCATCTATGAAACTTTATACATACGTCAATTAAAACCGTCATGAGACAAATTATTTAGTTGACATAGAGAAAATTTCAAAAATAAAACCATTATTCATATGTAATCTTTAGCTAATTTCTGTACAAAAAAAAATTATTTTCGTTATTATTAAATAAATGTTTAGTACTTAAATTTTGTTTTTTTGCTTATGTCTACGATACTTATTTATTGACTTAAGATATAGTAAGAAAAAAAAACAGAAAACTAGATTAAAAAAAATGCCTTGTGTGAATAAAAATCTGTGTATATTTGACAATTAAATCTAAAAATACTAAGATAAATAATATGACATTTATTAGTAGATAAAGAGAAAAACAAAAAAATGAATTGATGAGTTTTAAAAAGTGAAAAAAAAAAAGAAAGATTAATTTATATATATAGTTTTTTTGTGATCTTTCTTAAATTATATTGATTACTAAACAATATAAAATTAGTTTCAATACCGATGAAATTTCAATGTTTATTTTTTTTTTCGAGAAGTTAACTCAACAGTCTTTTTGAAATCTATTAGATTGATCTGGGAGTGAAAATTTTAGACTCAACGAGTTTTAATAGTCTCAATATTAAACTTTATGTCACATTCAGAAACATAGATTATTTAATATTTGTTAAAATATCTGAAAAGTTGTTGTTTTTTTTAAAGTTCATTTCATCATGCTAAATTAGATATAGTTTGACTGATCTTGTGAAAGTAAATTTTTCGATATCAATATCATATAAAATTTTCAGAATTCAAATCTAAATATTAATACTATTTGTGATCATACTATTATCTCCATGAGAAAAATATTCACCTGTTAGATTATTGTTTGTGTACATATAAAATTTCCTAGATAAATATTTAAATAAATTTTATTTTCTTATTA